GCAGCCATCATTGTTGTTTGGCGGGTCCAGGCTGGGGATTCGAACCCGCCACCTTAGGTGTATGTGGCTGGCGCCTTAGCCGGTTGAGCTATAGGTGCCAAGCTGGGAAACAGAACTATTATAGAACAGCATACTGTCACTGAAGAGAAAAGTTTGAAAAAGGAAGAGATGGTAAATATATCAAGTTTCCTTGGCTGGGTGCGGTAGCTCACACCTGTAATCCTAGCACTTGGGAGGCTGAGGCGAGTGGATTGCCTGAGCTCTCGGGTTTGAGACCAGCCTGGGCCAGAGTGAGATCTCGTCTCTAAAGATAGCCGGGCATTGTGGCAGGCACCTATAGGGAAGCTGAGGCAAAAGAATCGCTTGAGCCCAAGAGTTTGAGGTTGCTGTGAGCTATGATGCCATGGTACTCTACCAAGGGTGACCAGGTGAGACTCTGTCTCAAAAAATAAATACTCCAAGGCACCCTACCCCAGCGTGACTGAGTGTAATGCCCTAACTCCATTTTGTACATAGAGCCAGACTTACTCCATTTTGCTAAGGGCTTTCAACACTCCCCCTTTAAGCTCAACTGAAAGTTGCAGAGTTTAGCAAAAACTGCAAAATCCTGTGAAACCACAGCTTTCCCTTGTAAGCACTGCCCTTAGATCTAACATAGCGGGTGTTGGCTTTTGTGTAACTCGACTTGTGTTAAGGACTCCCCCTCCCCTACCAAAAGCACCTTATAAAAAGTTTGTACCCTTGCTTTTGAGGGTCAAGAGTCTGAGGCACAAGCCCTCTCTTGACCACCAGCGAATAAAGGACCCCTGCTTGATTTGGACTCAGTGTGCTGGCGTTTCCCTATTCCACTCGCTTCAGTATAACAAGTGAAACTGTCTAAATAAATAAATTAATTAATTAAATAAAAGACTCCTGAGCTGGAAGTAGTTTGGCCTGGGAGGGTGATCAATAGTACTATAAGCTTTTTCCTTATAGCTTCTAGTTACAGTATTCCAATTCTTTTTTTTTTGAGACAGAGCCTCAAGCTGTCCCCCGGTAGAGTGCCATGGCATCACAGCTCACAGCAACCTCCAACTCCTGGGCTCAAGTGAGTCTCCTGCCTCAGCCTCCCAAGTAGCCGGGACCACAGGCACTCACCACAACGCCCGGCTATTTTTTGGTGGCAGCCATCATTGTTTGGTGGGCCTAGGCTGGATTCGAACCCGCCACCTCAGGTGTATGTGCCTGGCACCTGAGCCACTCGAGCCACAGGTGCTGAGCCAAGTATTCCAATTCTGATTCTGCCACTAGTTAGTTGACAACTTTGGGTGAATCAGTTAACTTCTTTGTGTTAAGGTTGGGGCAAATAAATCCTCTTTC